AAAAAACTTAAATGACAAACTTTTTAAAAAAATTGTCACCGTGCATCAGATTAGAATAAAAATAAAATATTGATAATCTCTAGTAAACTCCATTCTTTTCCATTAATTATTTATTTAGACTCAAGTTTGACTGCTTCTGAAAAGCTTTCTGGACCATATAACTATACGATTGAGTTTAATTAGATTTGCCTAATGATTAGTTAGAAAAAGTATACTAGTATTTAACACGTTGTTTAAATAGATTTTTAGAACTAACATATTACACAAGGGTCAAAATATTCGGTGATTAATTATTATATTAACATTATTTTTAAAACGCAAACAGTTCCCTGTATTTAGAAAGGAGAGATGTTATAAGCAATTTTTTAAATGCAGTGACCAATAAACACTTAAAAAAACCATAAAATTAGAGCAGCTCAAATGATTCTGGATGAAGAATGTTTATTTTCTCTAGGGTATATACAGTGGTAAAGAAATGGAAACAACTGAGGATCAGCCAGCAGATGGCACAGTGGTTAAGGTGCTGAACTCCCACATGGCCAACCATTGTTGGAGTCCTGGACTTGGTGGTTTGAAACTAATTCTGGGCATGTGTGAGTGTGTGCCCAAAATTCTGAGAGGAGAACGGAGGAGGAATTGTGGTACAGCCATCTCCCCTGGAGGGTGATTTTTCACTTTTTGTTTGTCTCTAGAGTGAGCACACATACCCTATAGCAAAATCTTTTTAAAAAATGAAAGAAATGGAAACCTAAGAGTCCAACAACAGATAATAGTTTACATCAACTGAAAAAACATACAATGAATTCCTACATAACTACTAAAAATAATGTTGAGGAAATATGTATTAACACTAAAAGCTTATTTATAATATACTACTGAAAAAACATAAAACAAAAGACTGCACAAGGCATTTAGATCTTTTTAAAAAGAATAGATGCTATTAGTGGCTGTTTCTGAGTATGATTATGGTTTATAGTAGTTCATCTTTTCACTTATAAGTAATTTTAGCTCTTTCTGAAAAATGCATAAATACATTTGTCCTCAAATGACCAAATATACAGGTCTAAATTTTCAGACAGTTGTATTGCCAATAAAAACTTACCTTTACATTTTCATGAATAGACTGAAGTTGTGCAGCTAAAGCTACAAATGTTTGATAAATTTTCTGCATAGCCATCGACAAATCTATAAAAGAAAATATTATCACACACATACATAAATACACATATCTATATAACACGATCAACTTTATTATTATTTGAGTACAATTTTTGGTATAGTTAATGTGTATGAGACAAAACTCAATAATGTTCTTATAGCTAGAGAAGACAGCAAACTCAGGCTGAGAGAAGGACATCCACGTCAGTAATCTGGAGAGGAAGGAGACGGCCTTAAAATTTCTGCCCTTGTTTTCAAAGCAGCAGTTCATAATAAAACATTTTGTTTTATTTATTTATTTATTTATTTAAAAATCTTGCCAAAGTGCACATGTGCTTACTGGGGAGAGAGACAAAGGGGGAGACTGAGGGAGAGAGCATCCCTTCTGTGGGTCATGGTCACACTATAATCCCTTTTCCTCCATTTCTCCTTCCTTTTGGGATTTGGCACACACCCCTGGTGTGTTTCCTAAGCAGTCAGGTCCAGAACTCAAACTACAGAACTGGGCATTTTTAAAAAGCATCGATGTTATTAATGTTTGTTTCTGGGTGTGATTATGTGGGATGTACTCATTTTAACCACCATGCCATAGGCTGGTCTAATAAAGCACTTTATATTTATAGGGAATGAAGATCTAATCAAAAACTTCTTAGACAATTAAAAAAAATTGCCAGAAGGTCACAAAAACAGGCACAAAGACCAATGGAATAGAATAGAAACCCCCGAAATAAATACTAAAACATACAGCTAACTGATTTTTGACAAAAGGCACCAGACAATTCAGTCAGAAAAAAATATCTTTTTAGCAAACAGTGCTGGAAAAATTGGGTATTCACCTATGGAAAAACGAAACTGGACTCCTACCACCATTAACAAAAATCAACTCGAAATAGATAAAAGATTTAAACATAAGACTTCAAACTATAAAACTACTGGTGGAGAACACGGGAAAACTCTTGGAGATATCAAAGTAGGCAAAGACTTCTTAAATAAACCCCCAAAGCATAGGCAATAAGCAAGTCGGATTACATTGGGTTAAAAAAGCTTCTGTATGCAAAACAAACAAAAAAAAACAAAAACAAAACAGTAATTAGAGCAAAGAGACAAACTCTGGAATGAGAGAATGTATTTGTAAAACTCTTCCTCAGATAAGAAACTGATAACCAAAATATACAGGGAACTCAAGCAGCTTACCTGCAAAAAAAAAAAAAATAAATAAAAAATTAAAAAAAAATCAATCTAATTAAAACATGGGCAAATGAGCTGAACAGACAACTCTCCAAAGAAGACATACAACAGCCAAAAAGCATATGAAAAAATGCTTAACATCCTTTATCACAAGGAGATGCAAATCAAAACCACAATGAGATACCACCTAACTCTACTCAGAATGGCTAAGATAAAAGAAATAAAGAATGGGACCAGCAGTTAGCATAATGACTATGTCACTAGACTCCCATGTAGTCGACAGCGGTTTGCAACCCAGACCCAGTAGCTTAAAGCTCACATTGGGCGCGTGTGCGTGCGTGTCCAAGATCCCGAGAGGAGAATGGAGGAGAAGGGATTGCGGCGTGACCATTCCCCCTGGGGGGTGAGTTCTCTTTCTATCTCTCTGTCCGTCTGGTGAGTGGACGGGCCCTTTAGCAAAAACCCCTCCAAAAAAAAAAAAAGGAAATAAAGAATGATAAGTGCTGGAGAAGCTGTGGTAAAAAAGGAACTGTCCTACACTGTTGGTAGGAATGTAATTAGTACCACTGTGGAGAACAATACAGTGGTTCTTCAAAGACCTACAAATACAACTACCACATGATCCAGCAATTCCACCCCTAGGTATCTACCCAAACGATAAGAAAGTCCTCAGTCAGAAAAACACTTGTACATCTAGGCGATTACAACTGCTAAGACACGGAACCCAAATGGGTTCCAGACAAATGGATTCAAAGTGTGGCACATATACACTATGGAATACTCCTCAGGTATAAAAAATGAGACCCTGGCATTTGACGAAATGTGGACAAATACGGAAGATTTATTGTTAAGCAAAGCAGTCATACTAAATAAGACAGGTACTATATGTCTCTACTTAATATATACCAAAGTCAATGTCTATAATCCATGGCAGAAACTGAAAGACAGGAATAAATAAAAGCATGGAAAATAAAGGTGGATACTACAGGCAGTGTAGGGGAAGGGTGGGAAATAGGGGAGAGTGAGAGGAAGGGAATTGAGGCTAAAAAAAAAGAAGCAAAATATTTAAGACATAAAAATGGAAAACGATCTGTTGATGATAACATGCATGATAGCATCTTTTAACTGGATGCAGTATAGTGGGACAATTCATTTTGCATGCTGTAATGATATACAGTGATTGAATGTACAGAAAAAAAAAAAAAATATGGGCCAGTGGGTGGCATGGTGGTTAAGGCGTTGGACTGCCCACATGGCTAACCACAGTTCGAGTCCTGGACCCGGCAGTTTGATTTCTCACTATCCCTCCCCCTCTTTTTCTCTCTGTCTCTATTTCTCTAACAAAACTATTGTGAGGCAAAAAAAAAAAAAAGAAACTAAGTAATTATTTCCAAAAAATATATGAAAGTATTATTTTGCTGTGCCCCCCCCCCAAAAAAAACACTTAGTCTTTGCTAAATAGTCTCAACAATTTACTAACTATCCCAGAAAAAAAACAGATCTGTGTCTATGGAATAACATAATGATGTATCTGAAGCCTATGTCAAATACCTGAAAGATTAGAAGGCATAAAAACATGGAAAGCAACTGTGGATACCAGAGACAGTATGGAAAGAGAGTGGGAAATGGGGACAGGAGAAAGAATAAAGGAAGAGAAAAAAAATTTAACAGAAAAAAAAATGGAAAATTAGCTGTTGATAACACAGTGCACGGCAATTTCTTTGACTGGACTAACATATGGAAGGGTATTCATGATAGGAAAATTCATTTTCAATGTTGTAAAGATACACAGTGACTGAATGTAAAAAAAATAATTTTAAAAACTGGGACCAGTTGGGACCAGCTGTTAGTGTAACGGCTATGTCGCTGGACTCCCATATAGTCAAACACGGTTCGAGTCCCAGACCTGGCAGCTTAAACTCACACCGGGCGCGTGTGCATGCGTACCCAAGATCCCAAGAGGAGAATGGAGGAGAAGGGATTGGGGTGTGGCCATTCCCTCTGGGGGGGGTGATTTCTCGCTTTCTGTCTCTCCATCTCTGTCTTTCTGGCGAGCGCACACTCCCTATAGCAAAAATCTCTCCCAAAAGAAAAGAAAGAAAGAAAAAACAAAAAAAAACATGGGACCAGTAGATGGCACAATGGTTACATCGCTGGACTCCCACATAAACCACAGCAGTTTGAGTCCTGGACCCAGTGGCTTAAAACTCATGCCAGGTACATGTACATACATACCCAAAATCCCAGGAGGAGAATGGAGGAGAAAGGATTGCGGCATGGTCATTCCCTCTGGGGCAGGGAGGGTGATTTCTCTCTTTCTGTTTCTGTCTCTCTCGTGAGTACACATACCCTATAGCAAAAATCTCTCTTAAAAAAAAAAAAAAATTCTGGGCCAAGCAATTAGCGTAATGGCTATGTCGCTAGACTCCACGTAGTCAACCACAGTTCGCGTCCCGGACCCAGTGGCTTAAAACTCATGCCAGGTGCGTGTGTGTGCATACCCAAGATCTCGAGAGGAGGATAGAGAAGGGACTGTGGCATGGCCTTCCCCCCTGGGGGGTGATTTCTCACTTTCTGTCTGTCTCTCTCTGTCTTTCGGGCGAGTGCATATGCCCTATAGCAAAAACCTCTCAAAAAAAAAAAAAAAATCCAAATTGGGAACAGCAGTGCCATAATCATTACATCACTGGCTCTCTCTAGTGTGAGCATGCACTCTATTGAAAAAAAACCACTCTTTAAATTAAAAAACAAACAAACAAAAAACCCTCAATTAAATAAATAAAATATAAAAGTATTTTTAATGGGGCTATACAATGCCTCTCTATCAAATGCCAGGGTCTTGTCATTTTTACAGCTAATTAGTATTCCATACAGTATGTCCCCCCTCAAAGGTATATACAAACATGTGTGTGTATAAATTAATTAATTAATAAAAAATATGGTCATCAGAAAAGTCATGACACATTTTTCTATGCAAAAATATGTCATGAAGGGCCAGCAGGTAGCATGGTGGTTAAGGCACGGGACTCCTACATGGCCAACTGGTTCAAGTCCTGGATCTGGCGACTTGCTTTCTCACTTTCTCTCTCTCCCTCTCTCTGTTTCTGTCTCTCTCTGGTCAAATTAAAAACAACAGGGACTAGCAGTTGCATAATGGCTATGTCTCTGGACTCCTACACAGTCAATTGTGGTTCAAGTCCCAAACCTGGCGGCTTAAACTCACGCCAGGCACGTGTGCGTGTGGGCCCAAGATCCTGAGAGGAGAATGGAAGAGAAGGGATTGTGTTGTGGCCATCCACCCGGGGGGGCTGTGTGTGTGTGTGATTTCTTGCTTTCTGTCTCTGTCTTTCTGGTGAGTCCATGCACCCTATAGCAAAAAACCTCTTCAAAAAAATAAAATAAAATAAATAAACAATTTAAAAAATATGTCATATGTATTCATTACATATTTTTCTACACAAAAATATGTCACAAATTTTCTAACAACCTAATACTGGAGAGCTGCTAGTACTGTATCATTTTGGTTAAAAAAAAATAAAAAAAGTCACAGAGAAATATATGTAAAATTATCCTACTTTTGACTATCAAACATTATGACCTTTTTCTATAAATATCTGTAGATGTTTACGTATGATTAAGCAAACTTGAAAACAAGTTAAAAAGAAAAAAATTACCAGAGGGCACATGTGCTCAATAGAGGAAGAGGGGCATAAGGCCATCCCAAATGGGGTGTGGTCATGCTGCAATCTTTATTCCTCCATTTCTCCATCCTGTTGAGATTTGGGACATGCACACAAATACACTCAGTGTATTTTCAAGCTACCAGGGCTAGGATTCAAACCATGGTTGGCCATGTGGGATCCAGCTTTCTTAACCACTAGGTCACTGGGCTGGCTCAATAAAACTTTAGGGGCTTAAGAAAACTATAAGTAATTATCAAGAACACCTACCATACAACTACAGTTTAATCTCTCTCCTACCAATAAATAAATGTCCCACCAAAAAAACCCCCAAAAAACCATAATAAGTGTGTTACCTTGAGGGGTTATGTGTGAATTATTTGCTTGAGTAGCAAGATGGTTTTCTAGTTCTTCAATCTGCTGTCTGTACTGCTGGAGCTGTACCTCAAATTGCTGAACCAAGATTCTGAAGTAACTATAAAAAAAAATGTAAAAAGTCAGATCAAAATTTTTAAAACATTTCATGCTGAAAACATAAGCAAATAATGTCCCCTTTGAGTAGAATCTTTGAATAAAATTAAGGATGTAATGTATCTTTAAGTGATTGTTATTTTCATTAAAACAAAAACCCAAATTGTTGTGAATTATCAAGATATTATTCCAATCCTAAGTGACAAATCCAAATTAAGGAAATAACTTAATAGTCTTCAAAAGTATCAAGTAATCTAACAAAAGGAAAGACTGTTACAGATTGAACAGTAAAGAGAAATTATAAATAACTGCAACGTGAACCCTAAAACTTGAACAGAAACAGTACCTTAATGGAAAAATCAGTAAAATTCCAGAAAGTTCTACAATTTACTTAATTATGTTGTACCAGTGTTAAAATAGTTTCCCATTCTTCTTTTTTTTTTTCTTTTTTTTTTTTTTGGAGAGATTTTCGCTATAGGGCGCGTGCGCTCGCCAGACAGAGAGAGACAAAGAGACAGAAAGCGAGAAATCACCCCCCCGGGGGGATGGTCACGCCTCAATCCCTTCTCCTCCATTCTCCTCTCGGGATCCTGGGCACGCATGCACACGCACCCGGCGTGAATTTTAAGCCACCGGGTCCGGGACGCAAACCGCGGTCAACTACGTGGGAGTCCAGTGACATAGCCATTACGCTAACTGCTGGTTCCCAGTTTCCCATTCTTGATAAAGGATATAAGAAAATTCCTTGCACAATTTTATTCTAAGTCCAAAATAATGTTTATAAAAAAGTCCAACTGTCAACCAGACTTTAAAGTTTTTATATTAATAACATTTATAAGCTGACAACAGTACATATAGGATACTAAAGAAAGTGAATGTAATTACTGCTACTAGTCTCTTAAATGTAACTAAAACGTGCCAGGTAACAATGAACTCTGAATAGTCACCTGAGAAATTTGCGTATTCTTCTGAGAAGTGGGCAACTATGAGAGCTTTTCGTAAAATGAACTCTGATGGCACTTTGTGGTTTTTTTTGTTTTTTTTTTTTAAGAATTATTTTATTTAATTTTATTCACTGTCATTATTTTATTTTATTGTTTTGAAGTTGACCAGAGAAAGAGAGTGAGAAAGCAGGCAGCCAGGTCCAGGACTCGAACTGTGGTCAGACATGTGAGAGTCCAGCTGCCTTAACTACCATGCCACCTACCGGTCCCTCTGACGGCACTTTAAAGACAGAGTGACAAAATACTACAGGAAGTTGAGCGAGAAAATATATCCTTGCTAATATGAATAAGAGGAGCAACATAGTCATTGTTAATTTCATAATTTTTATGACTACACTACAGTTATGTAAGAGAATATCCTTATGTAAAATACACACTAAGGGGCTAACAGGTGGCATGGTGGTTAAGGGTGCTATACTCCCACATGGCTAACTGTGGTTCGGGTCCCGGACCTGGTGGCTTGTTCTCTCATTTTCTCTCTCATCTTAAACTCTGTCCCTTTCCGGTTAAATGAAAATAAACAAATAAATAAATAAAGTAATTCTAAAAAATACATCAATTAATTTAAAAAAATTAAAATACACATGAACTTATTTAAGCACAATGAACATTACATCTATAAATAACTCAGCTGGGGAAAAATATGTATGTACATATCAGGGAGTCTTCAAAAGTTCATGGAAAATTACAAAAAACTGTACCAGAATAAACTTATACTTTAAATTTCATTTTTTCATGCACTTTTTAAAGTCCCCTTATATAGAGAAAACAAATATTGTAAACATGTTAGCATGTAGGGAATCTAGATAAAGGTATACAATAATATTTTTATTCTATTTTTGAAACTTTTCTGAATGTTGAAAATTAGACAAGGGTTTTTGTTTGTTTGTTTGTTTTGGAGAGGTTTTTGCTATTGGGTGTGTGCGCTCGCCAGAAAGAGAAAGAGAAATCACCACCCGGGGGGGCTGGCCACGCGGCAATCCCATCTCCTCCATTCTCCTATCAGGATCTTGGGCACACACGCACATGCACCGGGTCTGAGTTTAACCCACCGGGTCCGGGACTAGAACTGCAGTCGACTATATGGGAGTCAGCGACATAATCATTACGTGAACTACTGGTCCCTATACAAGAGTATTTTTAAGAGGCTGTGAAAAAACGGACTTAAGTACACATTTATGGAGCCAGTAATAGTATAACGGTAAAATGTGACACTGTGAGGCTAACCCATATGGGAAGGTTCTGAGTTGTGATGCAAACTTCTTGAGTATACCCAGAACATGAGTGCCATGATCTGATGTTGGCTGGGGGTGTGATGGTGTAAGGACCCTGTTGGGGGGTGCTGTCTCTCTCTCTTTCATGCTCATGGGATAAGTAAGCTTTAAAAATAAATAAATAGGGGCCAGCAAATGGCACAGTGGTTATATTGTCAGACTCTCACATGGCCAACCACAGTTCAAGTCCTGGACCTGGTGGCTTAAAACTCACACCCAGTGCATGTGCGTGTGTGCCAAGATCCCGTGAGGAGAACAGAGGAGAAGGGACTGTGTTGTGTAGTCATCTGCCTCTCCCCACCCCACCACGAAGGAGGGAGGTGATTTCTCACTTTTCCTCTTACTGCCTGTGTGTCTCTTTTTCTCTCTGGGGAGTGCATGTGCCCTAAAGCAAAAACCTCTTGAAAGAAAGATCCAACCAACAAGCTTATTTTGGTGGGAAAAAAATTGAAATCAGATCATGGGCACTTGCATGCCTGGTGTGCTCAGGAAGGTCTGGTGTGAATCAGGAAACTTTCCCATGAGCGTCGCCTCACACACTGTATGTTTTATTACTGCACCACTGTCCAACCCCAAGAAAACACTATTTTCAAAGAATTATTTTAATTAATTTGATACACTGTTATTATTTTATTTTTATTATTTTTTTGAAATTGACCAAAGAGAGAGAAGCTAAGTGAGAAAGCACTTGAACCATGGACAGCCATGCAGGAGTGTCTAGGACCTTAACCATCATGCCGCCTGCTGGTCCCCCAGAAAACACTATTTTTTTAAAAAAGTAAAGTTTTGGGGCTGGCAGGTGGCACAGTGATTAAGGTGCTGGACTCCCACATGTCCAGCTGTGGTTCAAGTCCCGGACCTGGTGGCTTGCTTTCTCACTCTCCTCCACCACTCTCCTCTGTCCCTCTCTGGTAAAATTTAAAATATGGTAATAATAATGAAAATAAAATTAAATAAATAATTATTTAAAAAAGCAAAGATTTTCACAAAATATATTTTCTATGAACTTTTTGAAGACCTTTTGTATTATAGTAAAAAGAACAAAAAAGAGAATCAAATCTACCTCTCTAACAACCTACCTCAGGATGCCTTAAGTTCCTTGTCACTAAAACTGGAATAAAAATAACTATCAAGGTTTTATGAAAAACATGAGGTAAGACATGCATGTTGCTAAGCACAGTGCTTAGCAAATAGCAGGGATTTGGTAAATATAACAATTATTATCTTTATCAACATGGAAGGATATTAAAACAGACAAATATATATCATGTAATTTGTATGAAAACTAGACAGAAAAGCAAGGTGAGTAATATAAATTACTGGTGGGTTTTTTCTTTTACTATCTACATTTTCTAGTTTTTTCCTGAATATGTATTATCTATATAAATAAATAATAAAAATAAATAAATAAATAAAAATTATACAAATAAGTAAAAAAAAAAAGGTCTATTTTATGTGTCCTGTTTAAGGAGGGATTATTACAAAATTATTTTTAATTTAAAATTCTAATTATTTTTAATTTAAAATTCTAATTTTAATTTCTAGTACTTACCAAATTTAATGTAGTAAAACAGATCCTGTAGGTAAATTTACATGAAATGTAACTGTGTAACAGTTGTTGAAAGTTGCAGATCTTGGGAGCAGCGGGTGGCATAGTAGTCAAGGCACTGTACTCCTACATGGCTGACCATGGTTCAAGTCCCAGACCTGACAATTTGAAATTCACCCTGGGCTCATGTGGGTACATGCCCAAAATCCCAGAGAAGAGAATGGAGGAGAAGGGATCTGGCATGGCCAGGCTCCCTGGAGGGGGAGGTTATTTCTCACTTTCCCTTTCACTTTCCTTTTTCTGTCCCTCTCAGGTGAGTACACACATCTTATGGCAAAAACTTAAAAAAAAAAAAAAAAAAATGGTGATCTTAGTCTTCATTTACTCTTCAGTCTAGGGTTATAATGAGCGCTTTAAAAATCCATGTAAGTGTTAATTAATCAAGCATTTAAACATGGTCAACTATAAATTTTTATCTTTTATATTAGTATTTCTTTTCTGATTTTTTTCTCTTTTTTTTAATTGCGAGATGGAGCCCTCCCAATAGGGCATGGTCATGCTGCAATCCCTTCTATTGCATTTCTCCATTCTGTGGGATTCTGGGCACACGTGCACATGTACCCAAGAGTGCTTTCTATAGCCGCCAGGACAAGGATTCGAACCATGGTCAGCCATATAGTATCTGGCTCCCTTAACCTCCAGATTATGTGTCAACCCTACTTTTCTGCTTCTCTTTTTAGAGAGGTTTTTGCTATAGGGCGTATGTGCTCGCCAGACAGACAGAGAAACAGAGAGACAGAAAGCGAGAAATCACCCCCCGGGGGGATGGCCACGCCATAATCCCTTCTCCTCCATTCTCCTCTTGGGATCTTGGGCACGCACGCACACATGCCTGGTGTGAGTTTAACCCACCAGGTCCAGGACTCGAACTGCGGTCGACTACGTGGGATTCCAGCGACATAGACATTATGCTAACTGCTGGTCCCCTTTTCTGCTTCTTAAAGTGAGAAACATTTATTTTAAAAATCTAGTAACTTACTCGGCAGGAGCTGTATTTTCATGTTGAAGTCCAGGTGGTGTTTTCTGAGTTCTTAAAGCTATTTCAGCATTCTTTAACTCCTAACACCCAGAGATTTAAAGAAAAAAAAAAAAGTTAAGAGTTAGGTTAAAAATATGAAAATGCCAACTATCTCTAGATGAAAACTTCAAACAATGCCACTGTTAGAGCAAGAACTTATTACAGATGAAATTGCTTTACAAATTGCTAAACTCTTTTATGAGATGACAAACTACACTTTTTACCAACTATAATTATGAGCTGATTTCTTTTCAAAAGTAATGGATTTATTATTCATAAATTCTTCCACAGTAAAAGATTTTACTATTTAAAATCTTTAATATACAAATGTAGAAAGCACTGTTTTTGTTTAAAGTTTGTTTCTTCCAAGTAGGACAGAGAAAGATAGGCAGAGCACCAACAGGGTCTTGACACCACACTCCATCCCCAGCTTCAGGCAGCCCCAGATCTTAGGCACGCAAATGTCTACTGTACACAGGAATGTCTCTAAGCATGAGCCCAGAAACTTCTCATGTGGGTCAGCCTCACACAGAATAGTGTTTTACCAATGCACCACCATCCAGCCTCAAGAAAACACCAACTTAAAGGGTGGCCCCATGGCTTAGTAATTGAAGGAGCTGGATCCACATGGCCAACTGTGCAGCTTGAATCCCAGTCTGAAAAACCACTGGACACATGAGCACACATGCCCCATATCCTGACAGGATGAAGAAACGAGAGAAGAGACTGTGGCATGAACACACCCCACTGTGAGGTACTTTCTCCCTTTCCCTTCTCTTACTCTCTTTCTGGTGGGCGCATGCACTCTCTGGCAACAAAAAATAAATAAATAAAATAAACTTCAAAAATACTATTTTTAGGAGCCAGTGGGTGGTTAAGGCATTGGACTCCCACACAGTTGACCATGGTTTGCGACGCAGACTTGGTGGCTTGCTTTCTTACTTTCCCTCTGGTCAAATTTAAAATAAATAAATAAATAATATTAATAAGTAAAATTGAATAAAGCAATTCTTAGGAAAAAATACCATTTTCCAAAAAGGCAAGTATTGGCCCAGCTTTGATGCTATGGGCAATAGAATGCTAGGCACAATACTGGAGCCATAAGGGCAGGCCTGAGATCCCAGTCCTGGCTGGACCTGAACACAATGTCCACGATCCATGATGGCTAGAAGGCTATGAGGAGGATCACAGTGTAGCATGACTATCAAGAGTTCCTCTCCCTCAACCCCTCCTTCTCGCCAAAAAAATAAACTTCAAAAGAAAAAAAAAAGATAGCAATAGTCAAGGAGAGCAAAAAGTACAAACCTTAAGTTTTTTTTTTTTTAAAGTACTAATAATGAAGGCTAATAATAAACATCCGTTGAGGCTGATGTTGACAACAATCAACATCTGGGTGTTTACTACATACTAAACACCATGCTTTACTTATATTATCCTGGTTACTCCTTAATAATCATCTTACAATGTAAGTGATATTTCTTTTCAGATGAACAAAGACGTTAAGTAACTTGTTCAATACCATGTTACTTGAAAACCTGAGAGATGAATTAAGGAAGCCCAATTACTTTGACTCTTCCACACTTAAGTATTCTTATACTGCTTTCTATTACTCCTCAGTATCATTTCTACCTTCGAGCCAATGGTTTTCAAGGCTAAATTCCGTTTTACCCCTCTACAGTTTACATTTCTATCATTTCACTGCCTAGTTAACCTCCGAGTAACCTTCATTTGTAAACTACCTTAACTTCATATTCCCTTTTAGCACCCTTGTCCCTCATTAAACTGCCCAACTATTAAGCCTTAGACTGTTCGTTCTACTTCCTTTTCACCCTTCAACTCAGGCTCCCATCCCATCCCATCCCACTACAGTGCAGGTGCCCTGGAGAGGACTGGATCATCTGACACTGACCACTGCTTACTTCTCTAAGCTTGATTTACCAGGCCCAGACTCCTACAACCCTAACCTGCTTGCAGACTGTCAAACATGCTCACTATACGCCTTCAGGCCTTTGCTCCTTATTATCCACTTTCCCACTAGCCTGAGAAAAACTGACACCTGCTTCAAGTCTTATAGTAAAGGTATCCTACTCTACACAGATACTAAAAGTACTCACCTGAGCCCTTTGTGCCTACACCATACCCTGAAAACTAGAACGTGTTACTTAATTGACATAATCTTCCCCTAGTTTAAGTCTTTTTTTTTTTTTTTTGGAGAGGTTTTTGCTATAGGGCATGTGCGCTCACCAGAAAGACAGAAAGACAGAAAGCGAGAAATCACCCCCCAGGAAGGATGGCCATGCCACAATCCCTTCTCCTCCATTTTCCTCTTGGGACCTTGGGCACACACACAGCATGAGTTGAAGCCACTGGGTTTAGGACTTCAACTGCGGTCGACTACATGAGAGTCCAACGACATAGCCATTATGACAACTGCTGGTCCCTAAGTCTTTTTACTTAAAGATGTGTTGAAGTGCCTGGCACATAACAGATCTTTAAAAACTGTTCAAAAAATAAACAGAAAGCTGAACTTGGCAATGACTTCAATAAACCATTTGGTATCCACTCCACTCAGAAAGAACCATACTATTTATTTCCATTTTCAACTTATTTACCTAAAAATGAGGTACTTAGAATAATTTGTTTCTGTAAGATTTGGGTCTATATCAGTCCTCACCCCAGAAATGCTTATACTGGGTCATTGGAAATGTCATGATGCATTTTTGCATAGAAAAGATACATCATGATGACAATCCAATATTTCCCAGAAAGACTTTCTCTAAGAAAAGGTTTTAGGAACCAACAAGTGGTGTAAAGGCTACGTCACTGGACTCCCATGTAGTTGACTGTGGTTCAAGTCCCGGACCCAGAGACTTAAAACTCATGCCAAGCCCGTGTGCGCGCGTGCCCAAAATTCCAAGAGAATGGAGGTGAAGGAATTACAACATGACCATCCCCTCTGAAGGGTGTCTGTGTGTGTGTGTGTGTGTGTGTGTGTGTGATTTCTCGCTTCTCTCAGTCTATCTCTGTCTCTCCAGTAAGTACACATGCCCTATAGCAAAAATCTCTAAAAAGAAAAGGTTTTAGAGTTTAATAAGATTGATAACTACTTCACAAGGGATTCAGAACATTGTTTTGAATTAGTAATTGATGAGAATCTGGGTAGGTCATTAGTTCCTGTATCGTGGAAATAAGAGTAATCATAGCTCAAATTTCTCTGATACAGCCTATGAAATTTTCTAATCTCAGCTCGGATGATTTTTCCTTAAGGAAACTCAACTACCCTCTTCCTTTTATACCTTTACCCATTTTTTTTTTGTTATTCTGTTTACTCTCCTCTAAACTTTTAGAACTTTGGAGTTATCTTTCTAGCTAAAAATATCATCAGTTCTGCTATATATAGCTGTGAATGGAATCACCTAGTTTTAAGAGTTATAATGGGTCCTATTACAAAACTCATTTCTCTTTCTCTCAAGTTTGCTCTCTCTCCATTATTTTGCTAATGACATTTTCTACATAATTTATATAATTTCATAAATATGATTTACCATTTCATAAAATTTCATGTCATGTTTAATCAGTCTAAACATTCTCCAGTCTGAAAGCATAACTCACATTTTCCCTTTTCTAGAAGACATATATGATGATATATAAAAGAAGGATAAGCAGAGAGGAAATGGGTGAATACTGTGCTCATAAATAACTTAGAGAACAGGGTGTGAGAGCAGATAATGAAGTCTGAATTTTCTTAAACATCATAGTTTTGGAGAGCTATTTTAGTAACATCATTTTGCTTCTTTGCCTTAGGGCACTTGTACTCACCAGAGAGAAACAGAGACAGAGAAGGAACATAAGAAATCACCCCCCAGGAGGGATGGCCACGCCATAGTCCCATCTCCTCTCGTCTCCTCTCAGGATTTTGGGCATGTGTGGATACATGCCCAAAGTAATTTTCAAACCACCAGGTCCAGGCCATGTGGGAATCCAGTGCCTTAACCACCACGCCACCTGCTGCCCACCCCCTTATATATTTTTAAAAATCACAAAATACTCTCTAATAATTGATTTAAAGACACATAAGCACCTTTAAACACTTTTAAATATTACTAACTGTCCTACCATATTAAATTCATTAGCAGGTACTGTTGCGACGAGATCAAGTATATTTTATAATTATGGTATATATAAAAGACAACAGAACCATCTATTATCATTCTTCTCTACTGATGTAAAAACAGAACATATTGTATTTATCAATGTATTATATAACCACACTGTATGAGAACAAATAGACAAAAGTGACAGAAAATATTAGCTTCATTTTATTAACTAAGACCTAACCAAGACTAGCAAATTATCAGTCAAATTTAGTATCTACAAAGCATGATATATTTACTAACTGACAGATCAAAATAAAAACTCCTTAACTAGCTATTTTTTTCCTTGTGCGAGTATAATATTAATAGATCAATTTACCAGTGGGCATGCTTACAAAACACAGTTAAGAGCATAAGCCCTAGAGATAAATTACTAGAGTTGGAATCCAGGCTCTTCAACTTATTAACAACAAAGCTCTCTGCCTCTTTTGCCTCTTTTCTTATGTATATAACGAGGATAATAATATCTACATTATGAAGCTCTCATGAAAACTAGTTTAACAGAAATAAGCCAAGTAGGATACTACCTTCTACACAAGCAGCACTCAATTCAAGTAACTATTATTATGGCAATTTAAAAGTATATGAACTATTTTGTTTGCTTAAGAGTATGCCTTTATCAAACTTTCCAACAATAATTTTTTAAAAGCCCTATTTCTACTTTGGAAAAAAAAAAAAAAACAAAGTAAAACAAAACACCCTACTGTAAAAAACGCTATTAGAATACCTGAGCGGTTTCTATTTTCAATTTATCAATATTGAGAGTGTTTCTCTGTAATCCACTGGCAGCCAATGACAGAAGCTGCTTCAGAGCCTTAATATCTTCTTGTACTTTAAGCATTGCTTTGGAAGACATTCTACTAATTTCTTCTTGGACCTGTTTTTGTTCCTTCACGAATTTCCTAAAAAAGAAGATAGATATAACTGAGTTCCTAAAAAATTACACCTTTGGTTTTTGGTCTCCTATGGAAAAAGTTCTTTAAAACAAGATGTTCATAATTGACTAGATTTAGTCATTTCACAGTATATTATACCTCAAAACATCAGGTTGTACACACATAAAATTTTATCTGTCAATTAAAAAAAATACTTTAGTCAGGGTCCAAGTGTTTCAAGAAACAAAAACTAAAAATTCATATATAGTTCACACACTTTTTTTTTTTTACATAATGCAATTATAGAATTTTAATTCCCACTGCTCTGCTCTTTGATTTCTAAAAGCATTAAAATTATAACCTGAGCAAAATATTTGGAAGCACAAGATGTTTTCCTTAAAATGCATTCCAGAATTGTCCAAGTATTACTTATCTAAGTATATTTGACACTTACTGGAGATTTTCAACATCCTGGCAGATAACAGGAGGTAGATTTTCATCCTTCAGTGCTTTACTATCCCTTAAGAAAAGGCAACAAAGAAAAACCACTGAAAATTGAAAAAGTTGACAGAGGAATTTTACTAGAACATGTGTTAAGATATGAGAAAATAGTGTAAAAGTTCCCCACTTAAAACTTCACTAGAAGACTTCAAAGTTCCTTATTACTAATAAATTTCTTGACTTAAAGAATAATTTTAACAATTTGTCTGACATAAAAATTTCTTATCAAAGGACACTAGCATCTATTTGAAAACTTTTAACAAACTGTCTAAGAAAAAAGAAATCAGAAAATACTAGATTGGATATGTTGCTGATCCAAGTTCCCTCTGGCTCAAAGACTCTATGACTGACATACTCTTCAGTTTTAAAATATTAAAGCATTCATTAAGCAAAGTATTCAAAACTTCTCATAAAGACACAATCAAGAAACCCTTTTATTTTTTAACTTCAATTTGCTTTTCGGGGGGGCCACACTAGTAGTGCACTAGTAAAACGCAATCCTCTGTAAGGCAGAATCACATGGGAAGGTTGCTGTTTTGCTAGTTTACCTCTGGAGACTTACCTGAGTACACCAGGCACTCATGTGCCCATTATCTGAGCTGGCTAGGGGTTGGACTATGGCATCCAGACCCTGAGATGGGCTATGACTCTGTCTCACCTTTACTCACTCATGGAATAAACAAAAAGTATTAAAAATTCTGTTCATTTGCACTGGAATGGGAAATAAGACCTGGGGATTGCTTCAGGGAATCACAAACATTTAATGAGGACAGGAACAAGTGAAATTCGGTATGCCATAACAGAAATTAGTGAGATTTCAGTGCCTCTTAGGTTTTTCAGTTATATATAAGGGGTTGAAACAAACATAAGATGTTTGTGCTGAGAGCACTTGGTCATTAATTTACAAATACTTTATTTCATATAATATAAATAAAATATAATTGGTAATAAAAATAATTATCATTTTCAAATAAATATATGATGTATACAGAAGCTAACTCTTCCTCTTTGCTAAAGACATCAGGAAATAAAATGGTATTAGCATGGTAATTTATATGTCACAAAAACATGCTACAAGGGCCTGCAGATGGCGTGGTGGTTAAGGGCACTAGACTCCCACATGGTAGAGCGTGGTTTGAATCATGGACCTGTTGGCTTGCTTTCTCACTTTCTCTCTCTCTCACTCTCGCTCTCTCCCTATCTTGTCAAATTTAAAATAAAAATTAAAAATAAATAAATAAAGTTAAATAAAATAATTCTTTAAAAAAAAAAACAAAAACAAAAACATGCTACAAGAGGAAAGTTTCATGAGTTGTTTAATATTTAATAAGTAAAAAAGATAAATGAATAGGCCCAGCCACAGTGGCTCAGGTGGTATGGTGCCACTTGTACTACTAGGACCAAACAGGGAGGCCTAAAGCTCAAATCCTGGTGGACCTGAACACATGCATGCATGTAGGCACATCCATGATCCTGGATAGCTGGAAGGCTAGGAGGAGGATCTCAGTATGACAAGACTCTGTCAGGGGCCAGTACCTCTGTTCCACTCTCTTCCTCTCAGGAAATAAATAAACTTTAAAAATGCATACATTTGTGCGGTGTATGTGTGTGTGTGTGTGTGTGTGTATGTGTGTTATCCGGAGAAATGTCAACAACTCTGCTAGAAAAAATTTAAATTTTTTTAATGTCTGGAAATTAAAGATTGAACCTTTCATTTTTCTAGAAAATTTTATTTTTGACAAATATGGGTTTAAAAAAATTAAAAATTTTCATCTAAATGTGTACATGATTCCATTTACTTCTACCTATACCATCTGTATAGGTAAGTAAAACTAATTACAGAATCTCACAGTTAAGGAAAAGAGCGTGGTAGCTAAGGGCTGGATTCCCACATGGCCAACAATAGGGTTCCAGTCCCAGACCTGGTGGCTTGAAACACATGCGGGAGCATGTGCATGCATGCTCAAAATCCCTAGAGGAGAATGAACAAGAAGGCCCTGAGGTGAGGCCATCCTCAACTCTCTGGGTGGGGTGTGTGTGTAAGTATGATTTCTTCTCACTTTTCCTTTCTTTCTGTCTTTCTATGGTGAACACACATGCTTTATAGCAATTTTTTTTTAACAAGTTAAATTGTAAACTTACTCTGGTCTTGTTCCTGTTTTATCACCTAGAAAATTCAAAAAGCTTCATGTAAAAATAGGTAATTTAACAAAGTATTCCAAATACATGTTTCTAATCAACACAAATGAAGGTATAAATATAAATAGGCATTTTGTTTGCCTCTTAAACATCAAGTAATGCCTTGACTGGTGATGAACATAGAACACAGAGGTTATCTGCACACATAAGCAGACATGATTTGCATCTACCACTTTCAATCGCGAGGATCTTCCTTTCTCAATTACCTTCCATGAAAAATATCTTATATGGATGGTTTAAATGCTTGCTGATCAGTCGAACTCCTCACAGCTTTACCTAATACTTTTTTTAGGCCCTGTCAATGACAATACTGTAATTTGTCTGATTACATGAACTTTTCCAATCTGACAACCACCTAAAACAACTGTCCAACTCTACCTTCCTATCTGGCATAAAGAAGAGTACTTTTTGCTTCACACCCTCAATTACAATGGATATTCTATTAAAAAAAAAATGTTGCCAGTCATGTAGGTATATGATACACTTTACTATAATCTCAATTCACATTTCTATAGTATTAGTGAAGTAAAACATTTTCTTCAAATGCTAGATATTAATAAATTAATTTCTGAACTGCCTATTCATGTAATTTGTATATTTTTTCTTGACATTTTCTTACTGATTTCTAAGAGTTACTTCAACATTAAATACATTAACCCTTTGTCTTATATACACCATATTTCATATGTCTACTTCTAAAATTAAACCTTACAATTATTAGCATACATCTCCGTATCAGAGATATTCAAATGCAAAAAAAAAAAATCTAAAAGCAAGCATTTTACTTTCTATTTGTTTTTTACCTTTGTATATAGGGTTTTACTTTTTTCCTTTCATCTGACTGTATTTTATTTTCCCATATTTAATACTTCATTGATTCTAAGAATCTTTTTCATTCGTATTTTAACATTTCTGAAACTGGCATCTACAAATTATGTCTTAGAGTTGATGAGATAGTAATAAAAATAGGAATTTTTTTTGAGAGGTTTTTGCTATAGGGTGCATGCACTCACCAGAAAGACAGAGAGAGACAGAAAGCAAGAAATCACCCTCCAGGGTGAACGGCCACACTGCAATCCCTTCTCCTCTCAGGATCTTGGGCATGCGCACATGTGCCCAGTTGAGTTTAAGCCACCCAGTCCAGGACTCGAACCGTGGTCTACCACATGGCAGTCCGGGGACACAGCCAGTACGACAACTGCTGGTCCCAGGATTTAGTGTTATTTTTTTCAAATAATTCATCCACTTTTTTTATTGACTAATGTACTACTCTGACATTCCAGTCTTATTATAAATATTTATGTACATACAAACATGTTATATATTACTTGGGCGTACTTCTAGATTACCATAGATCTCTGGTTAATCCACTTAGTTTTGCCTCCATGATACATGTGGACTACCATAAAAGCTTCCTAGGGCTGGTCTATGAACTTGTGGTTAAGGTAATTAAAACCAACTTGGCTAACCATGCTGTTAAGCATACTGGACCTAGGGGCCAGCAGATGGTATGGTGATTAAGGTGATGGACTCCCACGTGGCCGACCACAGTTTGAGTGCTGAACCTGGGGACTTGAAAATAATGCAGGGCACTTGTACGTGCAGGCCCAAAATCCCAGGAGAATGGAGGAGAAGAAAATGTGGTGTGGTCATCCCCTCAGGGGGTGATTTCTCACTTTCCCTCTCTCCTGTCTCTCTCTAGCAAGTGCAAGTGCCTTAAGACAAAAATCTCTAAAAAATTAAAATTAAAAAAAAGAAGACAGCTACATTAAGATAAGAATACATACAAATCAAAGTTCTTTACAAAAATAAAACCTTAAATGCACAACGTACACAAAAAAAATGTGAAATACTAATGATAACACAAACAAGTAGAAACCATACTATTGAATATACAGTAAAACTAACAATTTTTCAGGCATAGGAATTTTGAGGAACCTAGCAGTTCCATCAACAGTACTATTTATTAGAACATAATATTATAATAACCTTACTTACTTTTTTTATCTGATGAACTACTAAAATCTATGCCACCGAGGCCTTCACTGCCTGCAGTTGAAGTAGCTGCTGTAGTTCCCAAAGTCAAGCCTAAAGCATTCTGGCCAAGCCCTATAAATAAAACACATTTCATTGGGAAACAAAGCAGTTTCAATCAGCATTTTTTTAGGTAAATGCATCTTCACTTCCAGTCACATTTGGAACTACAATGCTTACAATTTCAAAGATTTTGTATCAATAAATCTTTTATCTTAAGAGAGATTTCTGCTATAGGGCACATACACTCACCAGAGACAGAGACAGAAAGCAAGAAATCATCCCCTCAGCGTATCCCTTCTACAATCCTTTCTCTTCCATTTTCCTCTGGGGAGTTTGGGCATGAATGCACACATACCTGGCATGAATTTTAAGCAGCTAAGTCTGGGACTCGAACCACAGTTGACTAGGTGGGAGTCCAATGACGTAACCACTACACCATATGCTGGTCCCAATAAATCTTTATCTCTTTAAGTCCATCTATTCCTAAACTGATAAAACTGCTATCTATTTTAAAAACAAAGGGATAGCACAGTAGTTAATATAAAAGGATAACTGAAACTAGATTTAAATTCTGAAAGCATGTGACAGAAACTCACTTAAGTAAGTTAAAAACCAATGGCACTGGGACCAGCAGATGGCTTAATGGTTATGTCACTGGACTCCCACATAGTTGACCATGGTTTGAGTCCTGGACCTGGCGGTTTGAAACTCCTGCTGAGCATGTGTGTGTGCATGCCCAAGATGCTGGCAGGAGAAGGGACTGTGGTATGGCTATTCCCGACCTCGGGGGAGGGGGGTGCTTTCTCGCTTTCTGTCTCTCTGGTGAGCACACATGCCCTATAGCAAAAAATCTCTCTCTCAAAAAAAAAAGCAAAACAACAAACAACAAAAAAACCCAATGCTACCTTTAGGTTAACATGATCATAAAAAAGGCAGAGTCAAAACTCTAAAAAATGGTAAGAGCAGAACTAAAAACTAAGCAAACAGACTCACTGTACCTTTCCTTCTGTTATTTTTTCTTAATTTTGCTTTTATATAAATCTTTAAGAGATGTTTAAATATTGATCATGCAAAGAAATGCATTACAGTCCCCTAGTTATCTAGTTATTAGAAGATATTTTGCGTATCTAAAAAGTTTGACAATAATGATAAAAAATAAGTATCTAACAAATCAACGCAAAATTGACCAACTCCTTTTCTCTCCTTCCACACATGGATTTTCTCTACTAAATTCACTACTGGAATAGAAAACAAAAAAGAACTATGGATTCTTTAATAGACAACATCAAATCATATCCCTGCAACTGTACCATATGACAACATAAAAGTATTATATTAGGCACATACTAGGGGCTCAGCAAAGCTGAAAGTTAAATAGATATGCTAAAGTAGCCTAAGTATTATTGGAAATGCTGTGATTTCAATACACATTAACTTTTCTTAATCTACAGATTGTTAAACAGAAATTCTTGACGTTACTTCACTGTCTGAAGTTAATTACAGAATTTCTTCCAAAAAAAGAGTTTTTCTTACTCTCATGAAGTGGCTTTACAAAATAGAGATTTTAGAACTGGGACTTAAAAGAGCAAGTTGCCTCAGGATAAAGTTATGCGACAAAATGATCCAAGACTATTTGTCATTTATCAAAAAGACAAGTCTCTCTAGAACGGTTTACTGACTCCTTAAACAGGCTCTTACTTTGTTTTTTTTTTTTTTTATTTAGTCAGTCAATAATGAGAAAGGAAAACTTCCTTCTAAAACATGGCTAAAATGTCCAATTATGCATAAAAGGCATTATTTTATAATTCGGTTTTAATACTAAAAGCAAACCTTACAGATGAAAAAGTAATCTGTTCAGAAGGATAAATTAAAGTGCATTTAAATATGAACATTTACTGTTCTGGAAAATAAAATGCCATACCTGTTGTTGCTGTGTTTGTATTCTGGAAAAGTGAACCTCCCAAACCAGCCAAGGCTCCTCCTAATGAAAGACCTATAGATGCAGTTGTAGTTGTGGCTGTTCCACCCAAATTATTCAGAGTAAACCCTGTGGATGCTATAAAAAATAAGATAGTAAGCCTTCAAAAGGCAGCATTTATCAATACTACAGAAAAAACACAAATATAATTTTTTAAAAAAGACCTGACTTCCATAATAAAATTAGCTCTTTGGACAAATTACTTGCTAAAGATAAAATTAGGTGTACTTAGGAATAAAGAGAGCTAGCCCTAGAGCCTCATGGTCAAAGGAGCTGGATCTCACATGCCTAACCACTGTGTGAATCCCAACCCTGTTGGCTTCAAAAACACACAGGGCACATGTGCATGCATTCCCAAAATCCAGACAGGATGGAGAAATGGAGGAAAAAAAATTGCAGTGTGGCCACTCCCCACTGGGAGGGTGCTTTTGCCCTCTCTTGTCTCTGGTGAGTACACACACACTCTGGGAATTTAAAAACAAAAAAAAAAAGAAAAGAAAAATAGTAGCTTCAAAGCAAAACCAGTTACAGAAACAAGGATTTGAATGGTACTAAATAACTGATTGCAGACAAGAGCAGTTTTCAACCCAAGCCACTGACTCTAGCTTCAATATTAAATAAATCCTAAATCAGCCAAGGTTTATGTATAGTCACTATTCTTCCCTATGACCAAGCAGCTGCTTAAAAATAAAGTAGGTATCAATAACTTTACATTTTAACTCTCTAATTCTCTCTTCCACTTTCCTCTGTAAATAGAGACCATCTCCCAAGCTGGTCTCTGCTGCTTTAAAGCCCAATATAGACTTTTCCTCTTTACAAATCAGTAATTTACGAGTTCAAACTACTGAACGATTAACAATTGCCCAAACTCAAGTCAAGTTTACTAAAGGTGGATATTTGTGTTCTCTAGCCAAGTATGTATATGTGTGTGTGTGTATGTTTTTTTTTTTCTTCAGATTTTTGCTATAGGGCGTGTGTGCTTGACAGAGACAGAAAGTGAGAAGTCCCCCTCGGAGGGATGGCTGTGGAGCAATCCCTTCTCCTCCATTCTCCTCTTAGCATTTTGGACACATGCCCCGTATGAGTTTTAAACTGTTGCATCTGGGACTCAACTGCAGGTGACTATATGGGAGTTCAGCAACATAATCATTACGCCATCTGCAGATCCTATAGCCAAATAAACTTTAAATTTAACCATTAAATCCAACTTTTCCCCATTACGCCTCACCTGCGGGAGTTGATGTCAGAGCAGATGAGAGAGTGAGACCACTGGCTGAGGTAGACGTAATAGGCAGAGCGAATGGTGTGGCAGATGCTGCAGGTTTACTGAATCCCAGACTGAAGCCTGTTGTAGATGCAGATGTAGTGGCTGGCGTTCCTGTTTAAAAATAAATACATAAAACCTCACTTTACCTTAAATATGTTTATGTATTACACTCGTTTCAATCAAGATCCCTAAAAGTTTGTAACCCTTCTTTTTATCAATAGAAGAGTGTATGTGTAAGAGAAAAAAAGATACAGAAATTGTGACTATATATCATGGTGAATACTGAAGAGATGATAAGAAAACTCTACCAATGTAACATCACAATCAGTTTCAACTCTATCCCTAGATTTATCTAAAACAATGTTTATCCTCCTTTTTCCCTTCACTGATAGCAGAAAAATAAGTCCCTCTTCCCCAAGACTGTATAAACACCATTCCCTATTCCTAAAAACCCTCTTCCTCTAGCACTGCATCTATCAGCTCCCAGCTCTCTTCCTATGCTCTGTGCTACTCCCTGTCAGTCTTCTTTCACAGCTCTCCTTCCCCTGTCCAGCTCTTACACGACACTCCCTCATGATCCACTCCTGCTTCCTTACTTCACAGATGATCTCACCCCTACTTTCACCATTTCAACTACAGGTACATAAGCCTAAATTTACACCTACCTAAGTTCCCAGGGACTAGCTTTACCTTGATGTTCCTTTGGACTCCAGCATATGTTAAAACAGAAAAGCTTTGCTAAACTCTCTACCATAGTCAACTCATTTGCTTATGCCAGAAATCACTGTCTCCTTGAAATCCTTTCCTTCCTCTATGTTCCATGAGTCACAAATTCTATCAATTCTACTTTCAAAGTATCCGTGGATTAGTCATCCCCAAAAACCATAGCTTAAACCATCTCTCTCTCAAGAACTAGTCCAACAATATCTCATTTCTCTGCCATCAGTCTCTCCTAATCCCTAGGTTCCCCTCAACTCAATTATCTTAAAGACAACAATAACTATTCTGATGATTCTGTCCAGCCTAAGGTTTCTGTTAGCTCTTGACTACCTCTAAAATAATTTCAAGACCTGGCATATAACTGACCTTCCTTATCTGGTCCCAATCCACTCCTCAGATCTTAACTCTCTCTACCAGACCTCTAAATCCTAAACTCTGAGAATAAAGTATTTTCCACGTTTCCCTGGATGATTTTATGATTGCGTCTTTGTGCTTTCCACTCCTCTGTCAGAAATGTTTTCTGTCCCCCAAAATAAGTCCTATTACTTCCTTTTCTGCCTTCCATGTTGCCTTTCCTACATCTTCTAGAGCATTTATCAGATTATACAAGAAGGTATTAATGTATCTGCCTGTCCCTGTCACTTTCAACAGTCAGAGTATCATGCTCATGTGCACAGCAGTTCCTGACATTGTCATCAGTACCAACTTCACCACCAGCACTACTGTAACACTCGCTAATACAGAAGGTTCAAGATATTATGTACACAGGGCAAGAGAGTTAGAGAAAGTAGTAACTGCTCAAACAATACTAAACGAAGAAATGTATGAATAAGCAGCATGTTGTTTTCTCCTGAAATTATTGGGAAAAAGAAGCGAGAAACTAGCTTCTGCACTGCCCTGACCACAACTGAAAGTTCCTGCCAGAGTATAATGCTTTAAAATCATGTATGGGTGCTATAACCGCAAAAACAAGAGGAATGAATTGCTTGCCCTCATTGTCAACCCTGTCCAAAACTTTGGTGGCAAACAGATGTATTGCTTTCTGCTCATGATAAGTAAATAGCATCCAAGTGAAGAAAGTTTGCCAGAATGTAATTTAACCTCAATTTAAGGGCTTCTCAATTGTTCTTTCTTTCTTTCCTTTCACATTATTTACTGCCATCCAGATTCCAGGCAGGCTAAAACCCGTTATTTACATTTTCTTCAGCTTACCACTTCTATACCCTAGCTCTGTGAGACAGAGAAAAGACAAGAGTAGAAAGGTTATTTAATTTGTTTAAATCATTAGAAAAATCACAGATCTGGGATCTTTCCTCAAAAATTCTTACCCAGAGTTAATCCTGTCGTTATAGCTGTTGCTATTCCTAGGGACAAAAAAAAAGAAATAAAATTTAATCATCAATGAAAACTGTATTCTTTTGGCTTATCTGTCATAAGGGAAAGGCTTACAATTACCCTTGGGGAGTGATAACACTTCTAGTAGGACCAATATACATTACAAGATACAGCACTCTAACCACTGATACAAGCATTATTCCTATGGCACTGGGTTTTCATACTACAGACTGTATATAACTTGAGTAACTAGGGTATGTAATTTATAAAATGCAAATAATTATTGCTTGTAACGAAACTAAGCGAGGAGGAAAAAACCTACTCCAAGATAATCGCTGGCACACAGAACTGTCTCAGCAGCTCACTGACTGGTCTGGCTGTCTTTATCACAGCCATGCTTCCATGTCACGGTGCGTGGCTGTGAGGTGTGCTGCACTCACCGCTAGAAGGTTGATGTCAAAACTGGCAACAAAAACCAATGGGTTCTGAGAGCAGAGAGTGGAAAAGGAAATAGGGAAACAGACTTTTCAAAAGGTCCACTCCAGTAACATTATTTTACTAGCTTCAGGTATTAAAAACAAAAATAAAACTTTCTATTATTGAAATACCCACCAGAAATCTTCAAGTTCTTTATGTCTTGCCCTTTTGCCACTGAAATAACAGTTTTAATAATATAAAACACTAAAATATCTCTTGGGAATTATGTATAGCAAAAGAGAACAGTGATTGTCCCACATATATTAATTAATGCTTGAAATTGGTTAAGTTTGTTTAAACAACAATCTTCACCAAAAACACTTCATTATACAATCTAGTATGACAATTTAAATTACCGTAATTAATTATATTTAAAGAAAGAGATCTTCTTCAATTCTTTGAGAAAGAACAGGGTGGGGGGAGTGTGTGTGTGTTTTCCTTTCCTGTACTTCCTTTTCCTACACTGCATTCACAGCGAATGACTGGGCCTATCATTGGTCCTTAATTTCAAGTCCCCGCCTCAGCATTTACAGTGGTTTTAGTCTACTACTTATGATCCTCGTAATAAGTGAGATACAGGGTAGAACCTGGAAAAGAATAAACTTCTTCAGTCTAGTCCCTGAAGATGTGACTTTTACCTTTACCTGTATTTGTTCCTCCAAGAGTGAACCCAGTGGCAGGTTTAGATCCAAAGAGCCCAGTCCCAAATCCACCTGAAGAAGCTGTCGTAGTTGCTGACGTTGTGGTGCTTCCAAGAGTTCCGAAATTGAGCCCCACAGAAGGGTTGCTGTTTATGAAAAACACAAAATAAAGTCTACTAAAGCCAATATTTACTTGAGGGGAAAAAAAAAAGATGAACTCTTAAGGGTTAATTATTTTTTAAAAGGAAACATATCTAATACATTGCCACAAGACCCAGAATAAATAATAAATATACCTTTATCCAACCAAGTATAAATATTTTTCTCTTCTCCGTGAAAATAAATCCAATAAAATTAGTCTTAAAAAATATAATACCAAGCTTCATGAATAATGATCTATAGCAATTAGGATTTCAGATCTTAAAGCAATCATAAGCAATCACACATATTCCGCTTTCACCAGCTTTATTTGAAATCTAACACATTTTAAAATGGCCTTGAGGAAACCATGAATGTAGATCATTTTCCTTTTGAACTACTCCAAGTAGAGTTTACATTTCCAAATTCAATTATTCATCTCCAATTACCTAAGATAAAACATACCTAGAAATAGAAAAGTTAGTTTGTCTTCACTTTGGTATTACTGTATTACTATGTTTATGGTATTGGGAGGGGCAGGGTAATTCAAATAGGTATTCTGCCATCAGAAAAAAGCAAAACAGAACTCATGTTTGGGGGCAGTAAGGGTGCAGGGGGCATATTTTGGCAAAAATTAATGTTAATGTGAAGCAAAATTAGCTTCTATCAAAATTATGTGTACCTGGGAACCAGCAGTTGGCGTAATGGTTATGTCGCTGGACTCCCACGTAGTCGACGGCGGTTCACGTCCTGGACCCGGTGGCTTAAAACTCACGCTGGGCGCGTGTGCGTGTGTGCCCAAGATCCCGAGAGGAGAATGGAGGAGAAGGGATTGCGGCGTGACCATCCCCCCTGGGGGGTGATTTCTCGCTTTCTGTCTCTATGTCTCTCTCTGTCTGTCTGGCGAGCGCACGCGCCCTACAGTGAAAAATCTCTCAAAAAAAAAAATTATGTGTACCTGTCCCTGGCCTAGGTAGAGTGGCATCTGGCTGGTGATGCTCATCTTGTATCACTCAGGGACAAAGTAAACCCTTGTTTATCCCAGCTTGGCTTCTGATCAGTGCCCTTGCCTGGTTTATGCCTTGGACACATGAAAAAAATAAATACATAAATAAATAAATAAAATTATGGGTTCATTAACAGAAACTCTTCAGAGAGCTTTTAAGAACTTTTCAAAAAGACCAGCTGATAAAAACAAGTGAACATGAACAATGTTCATAGCTTTTCAACTTTTCTTTCTTGTTTCCTTTTAGAGAGACTTTTGAGATAGGGTGTGACAGAAAGAGAAATCATTCCCCCCAGAGGGGATGGCCATGCCACAATCCCCTCTCCTCCATTCTCTTCTCTGGATCTTGGGCACGTGTGCATACATATGCGCCCCAGTATGAGTTTTAAGCCACTGGATCTAGGACTTAAACCCTGGTTGACTATGTCGGAATCCAGCAATAACAATTTCGCCATCTGCTGGTTTCTCAACTGTTCTTATTAAGATTCAGATACACAAATGTGTTATATACAGGTGGGAAAACAATCTGTGAAAATAACCGAAAAAATGTCGATAATTTGCATTTCAAAAATTATGTAGGAGGGTTAAGAGAAAACAATATGAACAACATAATGCAAGCCCATTTATTTTACAGACTTATTACTTCTCTCTCTCTCCTCCATAAAGACATAATCACCATGAGAACCTAATGCCATTTTAAAAATCTTAAAAACTCTGGGATGTTTCAACTTAAGGGGAAGAAAACAGTGTGGTAGCTGGGTTCCAGCACCAGCTCCCACACGTGCTGCTATTTATGTGAAAATATTAGGTCACTGGAAAAGTTGTGACGTTTTTCAATGCAAAAGTGAATCATGGCTTTTCTGATGACCCAGTATATAACCTTTTAAACCTCTATTTACTCATCTGCAAAAATAGGTATTCATTCACCAGGGTTTTTAAAATAAGGGTTAAGTGATTATATAGGGCAAATGACTTCAATAAATGTTATTACTGTTACCAGTAAGAATACTTGTAAATTCAACTAATCACACGTACACAGCACTATGCCAGAAATAGCAAGCAAGTACAAAGTTTACTAAAATAATCCCTATTCAAAGACTATGTTGTTGTTTTCTAGGATAAAATAACATGAATAAATGTAATCCAAGCCAGAATAACTCTCCTAGTTACTTGAGTCCAGACATCATCAACTCCACGGTGAGCCCATCTGCCAGATGCCAAAGGCCTAGTGGGAGGGGACTGCTGTGACCCTAGCAGTATCACAGAAATGAAGAACTTAGAGCTTACTCAGGAAGTAGAACTTGAGATGGGTCATCAACGCACAGCAGGAAAAGAGAGAGGGCATGCCCTAACTGTGTCTTAGTTTATCCCTGATTTAAGGAATGTGTGTGAGGTTCATAAAGGGCACCGGGAGGCAGAAGAGGGCTGCAAGGTCTCACTGACAAATACAGTATAGATCTTTAAAGATGGAATTGCTTAAAAAATTTTTTTGGGATGTTTTTGCTATAGGGAGCGTGCGCTTGCCAGAAAGAGAGAGAGAGAGAGAGAGAAAGACAGAAAATGAGCAGGCACCCCCCCTCCCCCCCGGGGATGGCCACATCGCAATCCCGCAATCTCTTTTCTCTTTTCCTCTATTCTCCTGTCGGGATCTTGGGCATGCACGTACATGCGTCCGGCATGAGTTTAAGCCACTGGGTCTGGGACTCAAACCACACTTTACTACATGGGAGTCCAGTGACATAGCCATTACACCAACTGCTGGTCCTGAGAATTGCTTAAATTTAAATTAAGAAGTAATTTTAAGATGGACAGCCACACAATACGATAGTTAAGTACTGTGCACTAAGAAGCAGATACCACGCAGTCAACTGAAGTTCGAATCTCAGCCACGCAAGTAGCTTGGAAAAACAGGCGGAACATAAGCATGCCCCAAATCATGATGGAAAGGACAAAGAGAGGAAAAGGGCTTGTGACATTACCACACTCCATTGGAGAGTGCTTTCTTTCTGTTCTTTCTACTGAGCACACATACACTCTGACAATAAGAAAATAATACATACATACACACATATATATACACATATTATATATATAATATATATAAAAGATATTTTAAGAAATATTAGCTACAACTAAAACTAAGCAAATTTTTTAAAACTATCAAAACCCAAACTAAGGAATAGTTAAAAGGGAGAGAGTGTAGTATGTAATGGCTCTATGTCCAGACAACACAGTAGTAAATTTAGAGAGAGACAGCATATGCAAAAACATTTGGCTGGTGTAGTCTGATAGTACTGTTATTTTTTCACTGTTATGTGTATAATGTGGGGAAGAATACATTAGTATTTTGGGACTGTTTTAAAAAGTCAAAACATTATGCCAAATTTTGAACACATCTAAGTAGGAAATGGTTATTATGCTCCCTTATATTCCAAACAAATCAGTGATCCCGTTTTCTTCACTACTATTCCAGAAACAAGATGAACCGTAACAGTGTGTTTTTAAACAATGAATTTAAAATCATTAAAATTTCTTGGCAACCTAAGATAACTGAAGACACACATAACTACAGTTGAAAATATTACCAAAGAAATACATCACACTGAAACTTCCTTACTCTACCAGAGAGGGAAAAGAGAAACTTCTCTGTGGCAGAGAAACTTATTTAAGAAAAAAGCTACTCTCAACCCGACCATTTGAAAGGATGTGCTGTAGAAAAACGAAGTTGACTCCATCAGCTCAAGAATGTTATTTTAACTCTCCAGCTTGCCTTACTGTGCATTTGGGAGATAACATAATAATTAACATTTACTGAGCACTTAGCAAGTGCCAGACAGGATGTTAGAATACTTTACATGCTCATTCAGCAATTGTGAGGTTCATCCCTTTTCCCAGCTATGAGGACGGAGGCTCGGCAAGTAGCCTAACCATGATGATTTGTCAAGAGACCAAGTCTTCTGGCAGCACTAGGAGTAGTCAGACCTCCAACTAGCACTCCAACTGACATATTAAACAGTCTCTCTTTTCATTAATTTATCCAAATATTTCTAAAACTTGAGTAAAATTTTCTAGTTTAAAACTAAGAATTCACTCAGTCCTTAAGCAAGTATTTATAAGCTCCTTTTCTATGCCAGGCAGCCCTAGGAGCTGAGGATGGAGTGGTAAATAGGACTCAGACCTTGTTCTCAGCAAGTCTGTAGTCAATGACAGTTTTAAGTACTAATTCTTTAATTCGATGAATATGTACTGAGCTCCAGGCACTGCATCTACTAAGAGACAATATGAAAAAGACTCTGCCATCATGGAGCTTACATTCTAGTGTAAGGATCAGACAACAAGCAAGTAAATAGTAACTACAGTGAACTTTGTACAACTGTGATAACTGCTTTAAGTGCAAGGTACTGTGAGAACAGTAATGTTTGCTGGACTGACAGATCAGAAAAAGACCTCTGGGGAAGACACTATTTGAGTCCTAAAGTAAAGCAGGCATTTCAAGAGAGAAATAGATATTAGACAGGTACAGAGTAGGAAGAGGTAGGGCATTCCAAGCAGAGAACTGTCCTAAACTGGGAAGGAGTTTGCCAAGCTCCTCTAGGGAACTCAGAAAAGGGTATGTTGCTACAGTAGTGTTTTTCAAAATAAGATAGGGACATTAGGAATATAAACTTAGGGCCAGTAGATGGTGGTGGTCAAGGTGCTGGATTCCACAGGGCAGATTCCATGGTTAACAGTCCTGGTCTCCGTGGCTTGAAAAAAACACCAGGCACATGTGTGTGCATGCTCAAAATCCCAAGGGGAGAATGGAGAACAGACTATGTGACAGCCCCCCCCCCCAGTGACTTCTCATTTTCTTTCTCTCTCTCCAGGCAGTACATGTGCCCTATGGCAAAAAGCTAAAAAATATATATAAAATTAATCTAGCAAGTCATAAACTACATTTTCAAAAGTGAAATGTAACAAAACAAGAAATATCAAAGCACTTCCCATTCAGTATCTTTCTTTGAAACTTTGTTTCAATTATTTATTTGTGTGCATGTATTAGGGTGGTACTGTAAATGCAATTTTTTTTACAGTGGTCCTGGATCATTGAAAGAAGGACAAGTTGTGTTCAAGATGAATCTAGAAAGGTTTCAGGTGACTCTAGGCCTTGAACATGGTAAGGTTTCTTTTTTAAACTTCTTTCTAAAAATAGTGGAAAATAATGGCAAGGGGAGCAATAGGAATTTTTTTTAAATCACTCTAGCTACAATGTGGCAAAAAAGATTGATGTGAAAACACATTTTGAGACAGCAATTGGAATTCCATTAAGCTAATCTATGCAGGAAAATAATACATACATACACACATATATATACACATATTATATATATAATATATATAAAAGATATTTTAAGAAATATTAGCTACAACTAAAACTAAGCAAATTTTTTAAAACTATCAAAACCCAAACTAAGGAATAGTTAAAAGGGAGAGAGTGTAGTATGTAATGGCTCTATGTCCAGACAACACAGTAGTAAATTTAGAGAGAGACAGCATATGCAAAAACATTTGGCTGGTGTAGTCTGATAGTACTGTTATTTTTTCACTGTTATGTGTATAATGTGGGGAAGAATACATTAGTATTTTGGGACTGTTTTAAAAAGTCAAAACATTATGCCAAATTTTGAACACATCTAAGTAGGAAATGGTTATTATGCTCCCTTATATTCCAAACAAATCAGTGATCCCGTTTTCTTCACTACTATTCCAGAAACAAGATGAACCGTAACAGTGTGTTTTTAAACAATGAATTTAAAATCATTAAAATTTCTTGGCAACCTAAGATAACTGAAGACACACATAACTACAGTTGAAAATATTACCAAAGAAATACATCACACTGAAACTTCCTTACTCTACCAGAGAGGGAAAAGAGAAACTTCTCTGTGGCAGAGAAACTTATTTAAGAAAAAAGCTACTCTCAACCCGACCATTTGAAAGGATGTGCTGTAGAAAAACGAAGTTGACTCCATCAGCTCAAGAATGTTATTTTAACTCTCCAGCTTGCCTTACTGTGCATTTGGGAGATAACATAATAATTAACATTTACTGAGCACTTAGCAAGTGCCAGACAGGATGTTAGAATACTTTACATGCTCATTCAGCAATTGTGAGGTTCATCCCTTTTCCCAGCTATGAGGACGGAGGCTCGGCAAGTAGCCTAACCATGATGATTTGTCAAGAGACCAAGTCTTCTGGCAGCACTAGGAGTAGTCAGACCTCCAACTAGCACTCCAACTGACATATTAAACAGTCTCTCTTTTCATTAATTTATCCAAATATTTCTAAAACTTGAGTAAAATTTTCTAGTTTAAAACTAAGAATTCACTCAGTCCTTAAGCAAGTATTTATAAGCTCCTTTTCTATGCCAGGCAGCCCTAGGAGCTGAGGATGGAGTGGTAAATAGGACTCAGACCTTGTTCTCAGCAAGTCTGTAGTCAATGACAGTTTTAAGTACTAATTCTTTAATTCGATGAATATGTACTGAGCTCCAGGCACTGCATCTACTAAGAGACAATATGAAAAAGACTCTGCCATCATGGAGCTTACATTCTAGTGTAAGGATCAGACAACAAGCAAGTAAATAGTAACTACAGTGAACTTTGTACAACTGTGATAACTGCTTTAAGTGCAAGGTACTGTGAGAACAGTAATGTTTGCTGGACTGACAGATCAGAAAAAGACCTCTGGGGAAGACACTATTTGAGTCCTAAAGTAAAGCAGGCATTTCAAGAGAGAAATAGATATTAGACAGGTACAGAGTAGGAAGAGGTAGGGCATTCCAAGCAGAGAACTGTCCTAAACTGGGAAGGAGTTTGCCAAGCTCCTCTAGGGAACTCAGAAAAGGGTATGTTGCTACAGTAGTGTTTTTCAAAATAAGATAGGGACATTAGGAATATAAACTTAGGGCCAGTAGATGGTGGTGGTCAAGGTGCTGGATTCCACAGGGCAGATTCCATGGTTAACAGTCCTGGTCTCCGTGGCTTGAAAAAAACACCAGGCACATGTGTGTGCATGCTCAAAATCCCAAGGGGAGAATGGAGAACAGACTATGTGACAGCCCCCCCCCCCAGTGACTTCTCATTTTCTTTCTCTCTCTCCAGGCAGTACATGTGCCCTATGGCAAAAAGCTAAAAAATATATATAAAATTAATCTAGCAAGTCATAAACTACATTTTCAAAAGTGAAATGTAACAAAACAAGAAATATCAAAGCACTTCCCATTCAGTATCTTTCTTTGAAACTTTGTTTCAATTATTTATTTGTGTGCATGTATTAGGGTGGTACTGTAAATGCAATTTTTTTTACAGTGGTCCTGGATCATTGAAAGAAGGACAAGTTGTGTTCAAGATGAATCTAGAAAGGTTTCAGGTGACTCTAGGCCTTGAACATGGTAAGGTTTCTTTTTTAAACTTCTTTCTAAAAATAGTGGAAAATAATGGCAAGGGGAGCAATAGGAATTTTTTTTAAATCACTCCAGCTACAATGTGGCAAAAAAGATTGATGTGAAAACACATTTTGAGACAGCAATTGGAATTCCATTAAGCTAATCTATGCAGGAGTTGACGGAGAAGTTTCACTGAGTGAAAACCTGACAGAAATCCTAAGTATTTCCATAAGCATGAAAGCATCAGAAAGCAGGGACCTTAATTTATCTTATCACCCTAAACAGAGCCTAGAGCATAAGACTTTAACCAATAAATACATTCCATGAGTGACAAAGGCTTAGAGCAGGGCTGTAGAACTGGAAATGAAGTCAAGTGGATATTGCAGAGCAAAATGATCAGAACTTGCCATGAAATCTTTTGAGTTTAAGAGAAAAAGAAGTATGGAAAACATTCCCAGATTTTGGATTTATTTATCGCCGCATGTGCCGGTCCCTTCTCCTTCTCTTCTCTAAATACAGATAATGCTAGATGTATTTTTACCTTTTTAACCTACAAACATATCCTTTATGCTTCAGAAGGTACTTCGTTGACAGCGTGCACAACTTTAAAAACACTGCTACCTTTACCTTCTAGAACTGGGTTCTAAAGACGAACATGATCTCTTGCCATTTCAACCTTCTTTCTGAACCTCTGCTAGAATAGTTCTGTCTCCACCTGAATTAGTAGTTGCACAAAAACTATGCTAAACACATTCTGCAATTTAAGATCATGTGATTCTCATCACAACAAAACATTCTTACTTCCCATAGCGCATAAAATTACCACCAATAAATGCTGTAAAAAGAATTTTTAACAAATCATGAAAGCACTGTAATGTCCACCGTAAAACTTCAGTGGAATCTGAATTACCAGGGAAATACTATAAACGGTTTTCAGGTTTTTCTATCAATTGTTCCTTTCTAAAACTCACAATAAGCTATTATTTCATTCGTTCGTTCCATATCTACTCTCTATGCTTAAGACTGATTCATGGCGAAGGCTCGGGAGTGAACCCCAGACCTTTTCACCCGGCCAGATCCCACTTGGTAGGAGCATGCCTGAACCATCCGTGGATTCTTGAGACCTCACAGCACAGATGCCATCCGCGCTCCTCCCCGCCAGGCCCGGGAATGGCCACAAACCCGAGGCCCAAGACGCGGGCGGCTCGGCGAGTGCCCTGCCCAAGCCCACAGAAAGGGAGCCAGAGGGAAGAAAGCGGGTGACAGCACCAGGGAGCCTCCGAGGGAAGCACCTGGCTCCGCAAGGCGAGGAAATGGAGTTACCTAGATGCTCCTGTCCCGAAGGAGAAACCGCCGCCTGTGCCGGTCCCGCCGGCGGCCATGGTGGTGGAGCCCAGGGTCCCGGACCCGAAGGAGAACCCGGTGGACATGGCTGCCAGAAGCTCGATGCCGCCAGCAAACTCAAAGGGGTATGGGACGCTCCTCTTGCCTCACAGCCGAGGCGGGCCTGGGAGCATTGCTCCTGCCCAGTCCGGGCCTGGCGGGAACTGCAAGCACCAGCGGCGGCGAGAACCGAAGGGGGCGGAGCGACTAGCGGAAGCACGCACGACGCCCGGCGCGCGCACGCAGATCGTCGGAAGCGCGCCCGCCGCGCAGAGACTCCTGGGACAGGCCTGGTGTTGACGCCCAGCCACCTCTCTTAAAGGGGTAGCGGCCCAGAGTTTGGGGACCAGTAGATGGAGAAATAGCTACATTGTTGGACTTCCACGTGGTTGAACGCAGTTCGAGTCACAGACCCGGCGGCCTAAACTCGCTCAGGGGGCCTGTGCGTGAGTGCGTGCCCAAAATTCAGAGAGAAGAATGGAGGAGAAGGGATTGTAGAATGGCCATCCCCCCTGGAGGGTGATTTCTCGCTTTCTATCTCTGTCTCTGTGTCTCTGGCTAGCGCACGCACCTTATAGCAAAAAGCTCTCAAAAAAAAAAAATAGCACATACGTAACAAAACCATTTTTTCTCTTCTTAGTTCTTCTATGTTGGCATCTGTGCTAACGCAATCCTGCCAAAAAGGTTGCTCAGAATCGTGCAATCGGCGAGATCCCTGATGTGTATAGCTAAACTCCCAGCACAGAAAAGGAGGCGGCTACTGGCTTTTGTTGGCTGCTGCGGGTCCCTGAGAAGGAAGGCGAGTCAGAAATCCAAAAGTCGGTCTTCGGTGTCATGACGTGACGCCAGCGCCTTCAGCATGCAGGGAGCCCATTTGGCGCAGTCCTGGCCAGCCTAATGACACGGATGGGGAGCGGGATTCAGAAGCACTTTAGAGACATGGGTAGGTGGCCCCGGTCGAGGTCGGTCGAGGTCTCCTAGCAGGTAACTCAAGTCAGCAAATAGAATCTGCGTGTCCTAGGAGCTCAGGACCTAAAGCCAAGGGGTTGGGGTTCTGCGACTGCTTAGGCCTTGCGGTCCATCACTTTGTGCTAGTACTATAGGAACTGTGCCTCCAGAACTGTGAGGACAGTTTATTTTTATAGCCACTCCAGAATGTGGTATTTTGTTAGAGCAACCCAAGTGCACCAAACCATCTCTGGATAATTAAAAATAAATAGCACTTTGGGACCAGCAGGTGGCATAGTAGTTAAGGCTCTGGACTCCCACATGACCAATTGCAGTTTGAGTCCAGGACAACAGCTTGAAACTCAGACTGATGGCATGTGCACCCTGAGAAGAGAATGGAAGAGAAGGGATTGTGCTGTGGCCTTTCCCCTGGGATGGTGATTTCTTACTTTCTCTCTGTCTCTCCCTCAAGCACACGTGCCCTATAGCAAAAATCTACTCCCCTCCCCCCCCAAAAACACACACACACAAATTTAAATATCATGGCAGTCCCAACGGGAGTGATAAAACAAAAAGAGAAGGACCTGCAGGTGGCATGGTGAATAAGGCACTGGACTCCCACATAGCCAAGAACGGTTTGAGTCCTGGACCTGGTAGTTTGCTTTCTAATTGTCTCTTTCTCTCTCTGGTGAGTACATGTGCCAGATAGCAAATTTTAAAATAACAAAATAAATTATTCTTTAAAAAAAAAAAGAGAGAGAGAAAAGAGACATAGGTATTTGAACTATGATATAAAGAAAATATTCAGTTACTGAGCAAGAGGAGAAAAAGAAAATTGCGGGTTTTAAAGCTTCAGTGACCTAGAGGAGCTATTGTCAGTGATGGCTATAGGATTGTCAATTAGACAATAAAATCTAGGGTACATCCTCTGACTAGGGGGAAAAAAAAGGTGAGGGGCCAACCGGTTGCATAATGATTATATCACTAGACTCCCATATAGTCAACCGTGGCTCAAGTCCCAGACCTGATGGCTTAAATTCACGCCAGGAGTGTGTGCATGCATGTCCAAGAACCCAAGAACCCAAGAAGAGAATGGAGGAGAAGAGATTGTGGTGTGGCCATCTCCCCAGGGGGTGATTTCTTGCTTTCTGTCTCTCTGTTTCTCTCTTTCTGGCAAGCACATGTGCCATATAGCAAAAATCTCTCCAAAAAAAAAGAAAAGAAAAGAAAAGAAAGATTGCTGGAAGGAAGGAAAGAGCATGTAAAAACATAGTAGAGACTAAAATAAGATGTTCTTAGTAGGGAGAACTGAGTGTGGCATATATGGGAACTCCAATAATTCTGTAAGTCCATAGCTTTTAAAGTTAAACATTTATAAAAGAAAGAAAATAAAGGAGCTGGTAGGTGGCATAGTGGTTAGGGGCCCTGGACTCCCACATGGCTGATCACAGTTCGAGTCCTGGACCTGGTGACTTGCTTTCTCACTTTTCTTTCTCTCGCTCTGTCCCTCTCTGATCAAATAAAATAAATAAATAAATGAATAAAGCAATTTTAAAAGAAAAAAAGAAAGAGAGAGAGAGAGAGAAAAGAAGGAAGGAAATTTGACCTAGAGATAAAAGTTTTGGTTTGGGTGAGAGCCATTCGAATCAACAAACTGTTCTTTCAACTGTATAAAAATTTTAGCATGGCATTTCTGCCTCCAATCTGAACAAAGAAGTTTAAGTTACATTATAATAACAAATCCCAAAATTCCACAGGGAAGAATGCTTCAGAGACAGAGACCAGGATCATAGACAAAAAGTATTACAATCTACCATGTGCCTCCACATCCCCCACATGTTCAAACTGGAACTTAAAGACCTCTTTTCATCGCCTATGCCTGCTGTTTTTATATTAGCAAAAAGAAGTGAAAAGATGGGGGCCCAGTGGCGGAACAGTGGGAAAGCCTGACACTGCGATACTGACTCACATGGGAAAGCTCTGAGTTCCCATCCGGAGAACTCCCTGAGGACACCAGGCACATGTGCCTGCTCACGATTCGGGCTGGCTGACGCTGGGGTACATCACAGCAGCAAGACTCTGCTGCAAATTCTCTCTCTTTCATGAAAGAAATAAATTAACAAAGTTCATTTTTTTTTAAAGAATTATTTTAGGGACCACCATTTAGCATAATGGCTATTTCGCTAGACGCCCCGTGTACTCTACCATGGTTTGAGTCCTGGACCCTGTGACATTACTCACACTGGGCATATGTGTGTGTGTGCCCAAGATCCCGAGAGGAGAAGGGATTGCAGCATGGCCACCCCCCCCCCCTGGGGGGGGTGATTTCTTGCTTTCTGTCTCTCTGGCAAGCACACGTGCCCTAGAGCAAAAATCTCTCCCCCCCCCAAAAAAAAAGAATTATTAAATTTAATTAATTAATTAATTAATTTGTGTGTGAGACTTAGAGGGTAAAGTGAGAAAGCACACTGCCAGGTCTGGGACTTGAATCGCAGTCAGCCATGTGGGAATCTGCTGGCCCCAAATGAACAAACTTTTAAAAAACAAAGAGCATTCCAAAACTTTAAAGAAAGTGATTTTAATATACCTAACTATCTGATTAGTCAACTGAAAACTTGAGTTGAATGACCATAACCTGAGTATCATGCCTGCTTGAAATAAGCCTAAAGCCTGTCTAGCCAGGCAAAACAATGGAGCCCCAGAATTTGGCCTAACCTTCCTTCCCTAGCCCAGTGAGAGTGACAAATTCTATTCCACAGGATCTTCTGAATATTACTCTTTTTGACATTGTGGAATGTGAACCGTATGTGAGTTCTATGTGAATTACTACTTTCCAGGGATGAAACAAGGGCTTCATTCAGGTACTAATTCTATAGCAAACTCCTGTGTAACCTAGCTTCTTCTCTCTCTTTTTAAAAAATTGTCACAGGGTCATGTGTTTGCCAGAGAGAGAGAACGTGTAAAAGCACCTCTCATGGAGGATGATCAGGCCACACTCCCTTCTTGGTCTCTCTCCTCTTTGGAATTTTGGGCACGCACACACATTTGCCTACCACATTTTTTTAAGCTGCTGAGTCCAGGTCTCAAACCAACCAGTTGGCCAAGGAGGATCAAGCTGCCAGTTAGTCATGTCCAAATGGCCTCCCCTTGCTTCTTATATTGTGAGAATTCTGTTAAGAAACTTCATCTTTTGGGGCTATCAAGTGGTGTCATGGTTGAGGTGCTGGACTCCCACATGGCCAATTGTGATTCAATTCCTGAACCTGAAGGCTTGCTTTCTCATTTTCCCTCTCTCTTTCTCTCTGATGAGCACATGTGCATGTAGCAAAATAAAAAATAATGATGATGAGTAAAAGTAAATAAATAATTCTGAAAAAATAAGAAACTCCATCTTTCACTGATTTGTTAACTGTATACTGACATTATTAATGTCATAATAAACTGAATCATGTGAAAGACAATAGTACTGTAAAAAAAATTTCTCATTTGGGGACTAGCAGATAGTGTAACAGTTACGTCACTGAACTCCCATGTAATCGACTGCAGTTTAAGTCCTGGACCTGGCAACTTAAAACTCACACTGGACACATGTACATGTGTGCCCAAAATTCTGAGAGGATAATGGAAGAGGAGGGATTGTGGCATGGTCATCTCCTCTGGGGGGGTGATTTCTCGTTTTCTGTTTCTCTCCGTCTCTCTGGTGAATGCACATGCCCTGTAGGGTGAAAAAATATATATTTATATATGTATACTATATACATTATTATATATATATATATAATAATGTGTATATATAATGTATAATGTATATAGTATACATATATAATATACACTATATATACGTATATATATATACACATATATATGTATTTCTTCTTCTTCACATATATGTATATATATGTGTATATATAAATAATATTCTCATTTGTATCTGTACTAAAATATCTAAATTTGGGGCCAGCAGGTGATATAGTGGTTAAGACACTGGTATTTTGTTATAGCAACCCAAGGCCACCAAACAATCTCTGTATTTGGATGATTAAAAAGAAATAGTATTGGGACCAGCAGGTGACGTGGTGGTTAAGGTGCTGGACACTCCCACATGGCCGACCACAGTTTGAGTCCCAGACCTGGTGGCTTGCTTTTTCACTTTCCTTTCCTCTCTTTCTCACTCTCTGTGTCTCTCTGTGGTTAAATTAAAATAAATGAATGGATAAATAAAATTAAATAAATAATTTTAAAAATAAAAATGAATAGTATTTTTGAGG